ACACTCTAAATTGTATTAATTAGGTAGGATTTTGAAAAAGTTCAACTCAAAGAATTGAAACCGTAGTGTTCTGGCTTGGTATGAAAAATATCGTGGAAAACACAATCAAATGCTTTGCTGAGGTCGCAGAAAGTGATTCGGACACAACAGTGTTTACCAGGACAAAAACTGCTATTTCTGTGTTTTTATCTGTGGGAGAACCGTGTTGTGAAGAATCAAATATACCATAAGACTCCATGTTCAGTGCGTTCCTTCAATGTCCCCCCCATTTTTATTTTTTGAACGGGTCAACCCAAAAAATTGAAATTTGGGATAATGAAATTAATGCATGAATACTTTATTTTGAAGTGAAATTGACAGGTGAAACTTTCAAGATGGCGACTGGGCGCCATCTGGGAAAAAAAATAAATGAAAGGGAGAATCTTGTAACACATCTTTTTGAAGCTCCTGACGAATACTTCACTAACTTTGGATTTGAAGTTAATATCTTCACCTACTACAAAATGACGGAACATTTAATAATTTCGTGGAGACAAACACATTAACCCTGCGTCCGACACGTGGGGTGTGACATACCCCAGTCGTAGAAAATTCCATATAACTTGTTGAAATTGGCGCCCCAACGTCGAATATATTCAGTAGCTTCCGCATATAGCCTCCACTCTCATATTCACATCTCAAATCAGTCTTCGTTTGACGTATGTTCGAAGCAACTGGGGTGCACGAAACCCACGTATCTCTATATGGTCCAAAATCGTGCGCGTTCAAAGAAAACTAAATCGAGTAGTAGTAGGAAGTGATCAGAGGCGAAACTGTAGAACCTCCATCCAAATACTTAAACAAAACGGACAAGGAAGGTGTCAAGATTGCCATCGTGCCCCTTATCGAAATACAAAAAACATTTGTAACAAATGCAATAAATTCATATGTCTGGACCATGCGGAAATGTACTGCAAATCTTGCGTAGAAATNATGGATCGGGAATCAAGGTACATGCATATAAAAAGTGAACAAATTATCACACCAATATATGGATTCCCGATACAGGGTGATACAAAGACATACACAACATATATATTTGATATATATTTGGTATGCAGCATGTGAAAACCTGATATGAAATTTCACCCAACTCCTTTTTTTGTAGATATGGCACCCAATGGCAGGAAGGTTATGTAACGACATTCAAAGAAGAAGATCTAAAAACCTTGAAAACACTTCTGGCTTCACAACCTGAACCTATATCACAAGCAGGATTGCATCCTACGTCAGACCAGATAGAACTTTATGCTTACCATTTACCTAATTCTGGTTTAAGTAATCTAATGGTTTGTATCTATAGTTGAAATGAAGTGGACAAACTTCACAATTTCGATTGAAAGCAATATTTTAACACGCTTTTATTAGCTCCACCTGTATGTTTGTTTGTAACTCTCAAGCTCGAGATCTGTATTTGACAGAATTATCAACATTATTGCTTGATCTATTCGCGGGCAGATGGCGCTGTATGTAACCTGCTTGATATATAGATATTATTGCTAGATCTATTCGCCGGCAGATGGCGCTGATATAATTGATATAATTCGAACTCACTTTACACGTATTTCTTCATTTGTATTTTTTTTATTAACACGCGCACCTGCTGCCCTATTATTAATTAACACGCTTATATTAGCTTCACCTGTATGTATGTATGTATGTTTGTTTGTAACTCTTGTTTCTCTTCTATGAAACAGCGTTTCATGGGTAGCAGTGTTCATACAGAATACACATACGTTGCTTTTTTCTAGAACTCTCGCGAAGTTTTTCAGGAATTTTATTTCTTCAACAATATAAACAACCTTCGAGTTGAATATTAGCGGTGTCTTGTCTATTAATGAAGAGACAGATTGAATCAAACCCCTTTTTGTTTTTAAATATTATATTCGATCTTTTTTTCAGGATATATTTGTAACTTTATCAACGGTGGATGATTCGTTGTATTTCATGTGTCAAACCGAAGATTTTAAATTCCTGGCAGACATGATACAGCACGTCCCGCTACCCTTAAAGTCTAGGTACTTATTCTGCTGCGCCCCAATAAACAAGAAGATGCCTTTCGTCTGTACTATGTTCTTGAAGGTAAGCCAGGAAATGATTGGTTGATTTTTCGAGTCTCATGTTTTTCAATTTTTAGTTTACTAGGCAGTATAGTAAGAATGAAATGATTACATTTGACTGGTTGTGCAGGAATATAGGTTGGCCGTTGCAGCCCCCCAAATCTATTATTGATTTGGTGCACTTGGAAGCTGTGTTCGATGTTTTGGATCTCTACTTGTGGTTGAGGTAATTTTATTTTTTGTTTTCAGTTAAGAGTGACCTTGAAAATTGTAGTGTAGTGGTAGTACTTACTAGTGATTTTTTTAGCAGTCGAGAGTACATTGTCATGTTTCATAATTTTTGACTTCTTGCAGAAATAATTCTTTAAACATTTTTTACAAATGATACCAATGGTTCTTTGATAAATGACTCTTACTGTAATAAAAACGCAGTGGACTTCACTACTTCACTAGTTCACAATACATCACACACTAAATCACAATATTCCAACACCAAAACAAACTAGACTTCTCTGTGGCTTGTTTATTTTTCGTTCCATGCTTAGACAGCTGACAAGTGACAACTTCAAACTTAACTTTAAACTTCTTATTCAGTGATTGCTTGGCTTGTATTTATATAGTTGAAAAAATTCTCTACTTTTCAGAAGATGAACCTTCAGAAGGTTTCAGTATTTCACCCCATTTGAAGTTTTACAAAATAATCCTGATGTGATAACAAAAGTTTGGTTTGATCAAAAACAGTTCTGAAATTGAATTTTCTTTACCATTTCAGTTATAGATTCATGGATTTGTTCAACGAACCTGATCTGGTTAGAGATATGCAGCGAGAGTTGGACCAAATTATTCAGCAGGGTATAGTTCAACTCACGAGGTTGTTGAGGAATTCTGAGACTGGAATTAGTTCCGGAACGGCTGTCATTGATGATGATGAATTTTCAATGAAAACAGAAAAGCAGACGTATTTCAGAGGTAAAGTCCAATTGGGATGTACATTTTTTTTAAATGATCAAATCTGTTTTCTTCAGTTACCACAAAAGATAAGATATTTTCGAGAAAGAGATGTGACAACTGGAGTAAGTGATGGTTTTTTTCTCTCATCCAAATTTTGAAAGTTAGCTTTCAATTAGTAGGTTCATAGGACAGCTTTTTTGTGTCAAGAATCGCCGGATGTTTCTGAAAGTCGTTCAAATCGGTAGTATATTCCAATCTCTCCCATAATTATGGAATATATTTTCTGTTGGTATAAGATATGTCAGAATTTTTTATATATCAAAGATTTAGAGTAATGATCAAATGATTCAATTCATATTTCTAATTAAACTAGTGACATTTTACGACTGTTCAGCTAAAGCAGTGTGTGTGTGGTGCCTCATCACTTTTGATGATGGCTACCGCAGTTGTAGTCGAAAAGTCGGGCATAAATCCGTAATACCTTGGCAAACCTGGAAAATAGATTTCACATTTTGATAACTATTGGTTTGTTTCAGGTCAAAAGTCGTCGGTGATTGGCAGAGGAAGATTAACTGAACGCTTACTGGCTCAAGGTATATTAACACCAAATATGTTACAAGAACTGAAGAAAGAGTGGAATGCGAAGACAAACACTGATAATTTGGGGGAAAACGTAGGTGATGATCCTAAGAAGATACGAAGGAAAAGAAAAACAAAGTAGATGTGGATGTTTCATAATTTTCATTAAAGAAATACCTGCAAAATGTTGTTTTATATGAAGGTTTCTTCAAAAGGTACAGATTGCGGAACATTCGTTGTCTTTCTCATCAAAAAGTATTAATAATGATAACTTTTCACGTGAATTCTGTCCGACCTTGATATCTGTTCCCGTTCAAACGATAAGAGAGGAGGGGGAATATTCAATTCCGCACTGTATACATTTTTGTTTGAAAGTAGCAAGGGAACATGTAACAGAATTGTGTCTTTGATATGTGCCCCACGTTGGGCGCCAAAGGGTTCAACCAATTTCCCCACGAGAGATGGAACAGGTACGAAAATATCACCAACCAATTTCATTTGAACTTTATTGACTACTTATAATGTATAACAAAAACCAACACATTACTTTAAAGTAAATGTCTTTTATACAGTCTATTTCACCAGGTTACCAGTATGACTAGAACAGTAAACGGTAGTACAACAAAAATAAATATCTAACTTTAACATACAGAGTCCTCTACATATTTCCAACGAAACTTATCGATGCTGCGAAGCAAAATCGGCCCGCCGATTTTTCCGGAAGTGCCTCACGGTCAGTCTCCAAAACGCTATTCGAAAGTCGGGGCTATAAAACGCGTAGATGAAGGGGTTGATAGCAGAATTCAGCCAGCCCAGCCACGTCAGGTAGGACATTATTATAGCGGTGAACTCGTTGGTGTGGATGAATGGTGTGAGGAGATACAGGATGAAAAACGGAAGCCAGCAAGCTATGAATCCTCCCATAACGATGCTGAGAGTTTGGGCCGTTTTGGTTTCTCTCCTGAAGGAAGATACCTGCAAATAAGAATCCTGCAATGAGAAAAACTCATGTTAGGCCTAGCTTGGTACTGAAACTCGGAATAAAAAATTGTGTGATATGAAACTTGAAATTGTTCACAAAGATTTTGTGTTAACCTAAATGATTTGTCGCTTCCGTTTTTATTTTTGGTAGCCTCGACTCCATCTAAGATGGAAGCCAAACCTTTGAATCGATCTTCTAATAGAAAAGTTGCTTTGTTTATTCGCAAAAAAGTGACAGTTGCAATCTAATTCTCGATAGTGCTGAACCAGGTCGCTTCACTTTTTACTTCTTTGTTTAGAACGGCGGTGCGGATCGCAAAGACCCATAACTTAAATCGATACGACCAATCAGCCTTACATCCTTCCTGTTGAAAGGACTTGAGATGATATTGGACGGACACATCAGGAAGGTGGCATTATATGCATACGCTCTGAATAACCACCAGTATGCTTATCAAACCGGCTAATCGACAGATTTAGCATTACACAACCTTGTAGAGAAAATCTCCCAATCCTTCGACAACAAGGAGATTGCGGTTGCTGTATTTCTCAATATTGAAGGAGCATTTGACAATGCACTACCTAAGTCTATACGATAATCTCTGGCTGGAAGGTATAGAATCGACCATAACTGGCTGGATCTATGCCATGCTGGTAAACAGAACTGCAACTACAACTCTTCAAAGCGAGGCCATTCTTCTTCTTCTTCTTATGGCTCTGCCTTTTCGGCAATTTGCCAAAGCGAGGCCATTAGGTTCAAGGTCACCAGAAGCTGTCCTCAAGGTAGGGTCCTATCTTCCCTTCTGTGGTCGCTCCTGATAGATAGTCTGCTTGATGCCCTCGACAGAAGAAAAGTAGATCTGCAAGCTTATGCAGATGACCTTGTCATCTTGGCAAGGTCCACGTCGGGAAGGGTAGCTTGTAATATCCTCCAAAGCACGATGGACGTTGTTCACAGTTGGTGCCTGAGGGAGCAGATGTCTGTCAACCCCAGCAAAACTGTGATAATCCCCTTCACCAGGAGGAGACAATTTGACGATCTAACGCAACTTTCCTTCAATGGTGAGGTCATTCCATTTGGAACGGAGGTGAAATATCTTGGCATTGTCACCTGGAACGCTCACTTGGAAAAAGTTTTACACAAAGCCAGACTGTCCCTATGGACATGTCGAAGGAATTGTGGTGAAACTTGGAGGTTAGGTCCCAAACAAATACATTGAATTTATGTGATGATTGTGCAACGAAAATCTTCAATCTCAGGGTTCAATAAATCGTCATTAATAATTTCACTGGTTTATTAATAATTTTTACAAAATAGCCTTCGGCTTTACGAAGAGCAAAAACAATATTAAATGAACTAGTTACATACAACTGTTCGCTACGGCAGTTCGGGCCGCTCTTCCCCGTTGTCCCCAGTGTACTCGCTACTTCTCACACTTTACACGTTGCTACTTCTAACATTTTTTTGTCTGTACACTAAATAACCGTCACAATTGTCAGACCAATGATCACTTATGGTGCAATTGCCTGGTGGCCGAAGGCTTTACAGAGAACAGCCCAGGCGGAGCTCTTTGACTTACAGAGACAGGCTTGTCTGGTTATCAGTGGTGCCATCAGTACCACTCCGTCAGAACGGCCATGGAGATCCTTTTAGATCTACCTCCTAGGTAGAGAGGCTAGATGACTGCATATAGACTTGTGAACATTGCCAATTGCACAAATTAATTTAATGCAGAGTGCAACAGACTGTTGGTTGACACTGGAAGTCACAGCATTCTGAAAATGACCTCTAACTTATGCCTCTAACTGTCAACTACGAACTGCCTCATAAAGAACTGTTCCCAAGAAGAGAGGACTGGATCCTCCGGGAGAAGGAAATATTAAGAGAACAGATAGTTGTTGGTTCACAGATGAATTAAAAACAACTTTCGGTTCCGGTAAAGGTTGCAGACCCAAGACAGAGATATCAACCTGCCTAGGAAACTATGCGACTGTATTTCAAGCGGAAATTTATGCTACTGAATTGTGTGCGGACAGATTGGAAGAATCCAACCTCATACACAAGTCAATAAAAATATTCTAGGACAGTCAAGCGGCGTTGGAAGCTCTTGGCTCCTACCGAGCAACGTCTAAATTTGTAGCAAACTGCCGAAAACGACTCTCCTCGATAGGAAGACTTAACAGATTGTCTCTGGTCTGGATTCCTGGCCATACTGGCCTGGAAGGCAATGAAGCTGCCAACTCTCCAGCAAAGAAGGGTGCTGCAAGCAGCTTCATTGGACCAGAAACTGTCATTGGCATCGCTTTGGGCTTTGCCAAACAAACACTGAACACCTGGATGGCAAGAAGAGTTATGGATTTCTGGTAGAATCTTCTAGAATTGGCTCACTACAAGGCATTTATTCACCCTCCGAAGCTACTACAGTAGGGATGAACTACGATGTCTAACAGGCCTTCTTCTTGAATTATCACATACAGAGACTTGGACTGTCGGAAGACAGTGTGTGTCGCCTCTGTCTGGAAAATGATGAAACTGCAGAGCATATAGTTTGTGCCTGCCCCGCTGGGGACCGAATCAGGTTCTTTGAGTTCGGCAGATCCGTTCTCTCAGCATCTGACCTGAAAGACCACTCACCATACAAACTAATCGGCTTTGTTAAGAAGTTGGGTTTTAGTCCAGTCATTATAGTAAGTTCACCTCGGAATTCGAGATACCCAGCTGTAAGTCTGTAAATACTTGTATATTGACACCCTAAAAGTTGTCTCAAAACCTACATATGGTAGGGTGT